AGGAACAACAGTGGAATAACACCCAGCATAAAATGGCCTGTCCAGATTAGCTGGGAGTTGTTGTAAGATTTGCTGTCCAATAGCGTACTTGTTCTGAGTAGCTTTAACGTCTTATTTCTAAATTAATGAAAACTATTTACCACTGTTTAAAAAAATAGATTTTTCACTAACCTGCTTGAGTTTGAAGACTTCAATATTCCTCACATGGTAAGCACTTCTAATTGTTTGCTGGTTGTATGGTGGACACTCAAAGTGGCCTGAAACATTGAAAAAAAGAGTAGTTGCCTGAATCAATAGTTCCCTCCTAACACTGTTTGCCAGCTAGCTTCTTGGGGCCATATAGACTCCTAGAGCAATCCCAAATACAAGGCTGCCAATAGTCAAAGGAGAGACTGTATTTCCTTTACACGAGGCTTACACCAACAGGTTGCTAACTTTTTAAGTGTGAGGCAAATATGTTGTAAAAATGTGTCTACAACAATGAGCATTTCTTCCACTCTTTGTCTTATTTTCATAAATATAGAGAATACAGTAATTCAGTTGTGGAAACAAAAAACAGAAGTTTGACTCCAATACTTAAAACCCAGGATCTGTCTGGAACAAGTAACTTTTGGCAGAAAGATTTATGTGCTTAATTCCTGAATGAGGTTTTGTACCTCTCTGGTGAGACAACACCCCTCATTACTTCCCCACATCCCTTACCTCCACAGTTACACTGCATAGCCATGTGCAATCACATATTTAGAGAGCTGTGTGCTGCTCTCTCTCCATGAAACATATGTATCTACTAATATCATGGCTACCCATGCAAACATGCTGGCACAGCCAAAGAATATAAGGTAGATGGGAACAAGCCAAAGTTGGGCATCGACATAGTGAGAGCACAGAGCAAGCCTCTATGAGTAGTCAGTGATCAGAACATAAGTTAGGACATAATAACTCAAAAAGAGGTATAAACTAAAAGATCACAAAGCACTGCATGAGAGCAGACTCCTAACTCAGGCCACTGAGGCTGTGATTTTTTGTGTTTCTTCCAGAGTGCTGCCACCAACCGTGAAACTACAGCTTAACAGATTCAGCAGCAGCTTAAATATGCCTCCAACTGCCCACAGGCACCACAGACTCTGGAAGTGCAAACAGGTACCCTGTCAAAAGGGACATAATCTCCAACTTTGTCTTGGGACAAGAAACCTGAATGCATAGCAGAGGTCCTATGTACTCTTAAGAAAGAATAGAAAAATTACTTTTTTAGCAGTTAGCATTATTGTTAAAAAAAGTCTCATCTCCCACATGCAATATTCACGCATACAAACTGTATGCTTGATAACAACAAATTTAGTTGGCATTGATAGGTATTAGAATCAGGTGTTCCAGAAAACTAGTTCAGTACTTTGCAGCTTGAAAGCCATCTGCAAAGCTTCTCTGAAGCAGTATGTTACTAAAGATAATATTACTATACAGTAATCGCAAGTAAGAGACTGCTATTTCATGTGTTGAGGAGATCAGAAAGACTAAACTATCTTCTATTTGCTGATACCAGGTATCATCTGTGACAAGACTTCTATCCACTGACGGAGACCCTTCCAAGGAAGAACTCTTGAATACACATACATATAACCAGGAGGAACCTATCTCGATATGTACAGACACATTGGCCTCAGCTCAGGACAGTACATTTGTACACTATCACGCTTATAAATTGACCATTTTGCACAAGGAAAACTAAACAGTCTTGCATTGCACATTAAAAGGACACTACCATGGAAAAATCAAGACTGTTCCAACAACAACATTCAAAAGGCGCACTGCTTCCTGCTGTGGTCGCAGGCAGCTACCGACTCATCTACCACCTCCAGAAACATCCGCGTGTTGAGCCAAGAGAGGTGTCCAGCATAAGAGTCGGTTCAGAGAAGAGGAGGAACGGCCAGATCCTCCCGCAAGGGCTCGGGCGCAGTGCTCCCCTCCCCGCTGCCGGGCCCGCTCTGTCCCGCCATACCTTTCCGGTAGTCCACCCCCGCCATACCTTTCGGGTAGTCGTGAGACTTGAAGATGCCCGAGATGCCGCCGATCCTCACGCCGCGGAACCGCACCACGCCCGCGTAACCTAGGGGAGACGGGAGCGCGGCTGGTCACGGCGGGGCCGGGACAGGGCAAAGGGCTGGAGGGGAAAACGCCTCCGGGAGCCGGCGGAGGACCC